TAATATTATGATATTTTCATAAGTCAATTAATAATTAACGTGGCTATCTAATTTTAAGGAAATAGTCTCAATAAATGTTAGAGTTGGGTTTGAGTTCTTACCGATATCTCTATAATGTTATATCTATATAAATATATATTTGACTAAAAATTAAAAAACTAAAATAACAAGAGTAAACCATTTATTTGTAACCTTGTAAATAAATAAATAAATGGGTAATAATAAAAATGCTAAATTAATAAAAATTTGTTTGAACTTTCAAAAACTTTAATAATATCTTTAAATTTTTAAAAATTATTTTTTTTTTTAAACTTTTGAGAGGGTTTAAAAAATATCTTGAGAAAAAAAAAAAAAAAAACTTGGTTAATACCTTTTAAACTTTTTTAAATAATATTTTTTTTAACATAGATTTACAGTAATACTTACTAAAATTCAAAAATTAAATTATTATAAAATTTAAATTACATAGCTACCAACCACGATTCTACCCGCTGATTTACAAACGCAAGTTTTTCCCGCCAAATTCGGGGTAGGCTCGGACGGCATCGCGTAATGCCATTGGCTTTGCACTACGACACTTAAATCTCCGCCTCAGGAAAGAACAGAAATCTTTCATTCTTCTCCTTCCGCTGCAACGATATCTGTCAAATTAACTCCGGTTTGCAAGTCCAGATGCCTCTGGCCTCCGAGCTCCTCCTCCTCTTTTCTCGTAAATGAGGTCTTGATACTAATAGGTTTTTAGTTGTTAAGAGGAGCGATGGCGATTCTTTATGGAATGGTGGCCAGAGGACACGTTGTTTTGGCCGAGTTTAGCTCTACACAGACGAATGCGAGCGTCATTGCGAGGCAGGTTATGGAGAAAATGAAGCAGGGAGACGATGATAGCAATGCGTCATTTTCTCACGATCGCTACATCTTTCACGTTAAAATGACCGATGACCTTACCGTTCTTTGCATGACCGACGAAGCCTCCGGAAGTAAGTGAATGATTTAATCTTTCGAGTTTTTCTGCAACTTAGTTCGAAATTCGTATCCACGAGCCGTCGTGGTACGGTTCCTAATAGAGATAATAATAGGTCTTCTTAGTGAGACTTGAGGACTGAAAACGAGTTCTGAAAATCTTTTTCTAATAGTTCTTGCAATGTTATCGTTTTGATAAGTGATTCTGAGCACTTTCCATCGATTTCTATCCATTCGATTTCAAACGAACTTTGTAGATCGGAAACTGCGGGAAAATTTGTGATGACTTTATTGTTTTCCTCATTCTATGTGTTCCAACCAAGTGAATGCGTAAGAACGGTAGATGCCATTGTCACGAGCGTAAAACACAATTCTATCGGCTGCTAAACCGAAACTTCGGTCGGTTCTCTGTTTGTGTTGTAATTTTTTGACCGAATTTTATTGTTCTTGAGGACAGAAGTAACTGTTTGCTCGGACGGATTTGTTTTAAATCATTTCTTGATTAGGAATCTGTATAGTAAACGCTCTCAACTCTACTCTTTAGGCCATATAAATGTTGAGGAGGTGAAGAATTGGTCCCGTTACATATAGTTTCCTATATAATCATTTTTTTTTGTCACTCGGATTTGATGGTGAATTGCAAGAAAAAGTTAGTCGACGAGATTTCGAGGTTGCATTGCAATTTTGATTGAAAATTTCTGTGAGAAATTGCATTTTCTGTTTGGTTTCCGTTTGATAGTTTAGTTCCTTGAAACAGAATGCAACCAAATCATAATTCGTTCAAAATTTCGAACTCTAAGCTTATGAACATTGAGCCAATTTCTTTTAAACAGTATATGCTGTTATTGCAATATCGCTGCTTTAGTTCTTGTTGATTTGTCTCAATTTGAATCTACTTGTTTGTAATGGAAATTTTCTTCACCTGTATAAAATGACTGCTTCAGTAGCATTCATATTGTCTATATCTAACTCTTCTCCAAGTTCGTAGTTTCATCGTCACCTTGATCGGAGATGAGTATTCTCATTAATCGATGATAGTTAAACTTCTTTCAATATTTGTGCAGGGAGAATTCCTTTTGCATTTCTCGAAGATATTCATCATAGATTTGTAAAGACCTACGCTCGTACAATTCTTTCAGCTCCTGCATATGCAATGAACGGTGAATTTTCAAGGATTCTTCGCCAACAGATGGACCATTTTTCAAATGATCCAAATGCAGATAGGCTAAACCGCTTAAAAGGTGAAATGAGTCAGGCAAGTTCAAAATTATCTTATAAACTCTTTTGGTCTAACTAAGTTGTTGATCTTATCGATCATTTGAAATACTGGTTCCTAGTTTCCAAAATTTATCCAATAATCGTTACTGATATTTACCGGCTCTAGCAATGGATTTAATTATCTATATAATTCATAGTACATAAAAGAAAGGCTTCGATGGTGGATAAGAATATTCCTAATGATTCAAATGCCAATAGGCTAAACCGTTAGGTGAACTTCGTCGGGCAAGTTCAGAAAATTGTTTGCTGAGCTCTCAAATTCTGTTTGATCCAACAGTAGCTCTCTGTGCTTTCCAGAATCCAGCTATCAATCTTTACTGTTTATTACTATTGATCCTTTGCAATGGATTTAATTAGGATTAGAGTACGTTAAAGAAATAATTTGTTGATGGATAAGAATATTAACACTGATGGTCTTTGTGGGTGCGGTTTTGATATACATTCTTCTCTTACAACCACTATCAATCTACGTGAGCCTGATACAGATTATTATACTAGTATTTCAGCTTCAACACTCAGTATAGGATAAAAAGAGCTATGTTATGGTTAAAATAACTGTATTTAAAGCAAACTTGTTTACATTGGGTCGGTATTTGGTTTCACAATACATAAATTATACCAGAACAGAAATTCATCAAACAGTGGTATGTGATTACAGGTGAGGGTGTAATGATGGATAATATTGAGAAAGTGTTGGAGAGAGGTGACCGCTTGGCTTTGCTGGTGGATAAAACTAAAAATATTCAAGGAAATGCTGTTCGATTTAGAAGACAATCACGTCGCTACAGAAATACCTCGTGGTGGAGAAACCTTAAACTCACGTAAGTATCTTTGACAAAGTTCTCATATTTTGTTCAACTTACATAATTAAGAAATTATTAGTGCGAATTATAGGTATAAGTTTATAAGGCTATTTCGGTAGTCACTCCATGCAGTACACAGACAATGACCGTCTGCTTTCATGTCTTGCCTTAAATTGAATTTAGACTTCATTGGTTTCTGCTTTTGACCATGTTTTCCTTCTAATTGTAGAATCATGATGGGCTTATTAAGTTGGGTAATATCGAATCATCACTAAATTAAAAATTTATTCAAAAACTTAAATTAATGATAGGTTAATGTAAATTTCATATTTTTTATGAATTCTCTGTCAGTTGTTAAGAAGTTGATTTATTTCAACTAGTAATTAAAAAACCTTGTCCTTCCAGCCAACTGCCTCAGAATAGGTATGACTGTTGTCAAATCATCACTAAATTTAAAAACTTAAATTGATGATAGGTTAATGTAATTTTCATCTTTTTAATATATTCTTTGTTAGTTATTGATAATAAGTGGTTGATTTATTTCAACTAGTAATTAAAAAAATTTGCCCAACCAACTGTGATCCTTACTTTTCTTTTTTTTTCTTTTAGGTAGTGAAAAGAGAGTAAGATTTGGAACCTTGTTCTAAATTGAATTACTCTACAATCAAACTTTGATCAATCAAACTTGATCAAGGTTTGATTGAATGACTCCGACGTACTCTACCACAAAAATTGCTTATAATCTTAGAAATGACCAAGATGATGTTGAAATTTCTTAGGACGAAAGTTTCAACTTAAAAGGTCAATTTCATTCATCCTAAATTTGATTTTTACTAAACAATTTTGTGTGTATTTATAGTCTCCCACGAAAAAAAACTCTTATGGCCATGCTTGGCAATAGTAACTTTTCATACCCTTGAAATGCCACTCCAATAAGTTATAACCATGATTGATCAGCTTTAAAAGAAGTAATGGTCATGTGCAATAAGTTCGATGAAGTGAAAACTACTTATTAGATTATTAATATCTATCATGAAAAGAGAAAAACAGTGGTGGAAAATAATAAGTATGTACGTGCATAGCTATAGCAGAGTAGCCAAGTATATGCTTTTGGTTTGTTGTAGTTTGAGGCTTAAAGGGGAGACGGAAGCTGTCCAATCTCCCTTAACTTGTACTTCTCTGTTATCAATAATAATTGGTTTCAATTTCAACTTCAATCAATTTCATTAGAGAGTGAGCTGTGAGACAGCAATTTGTGGCAGTTGGATGGAAGACAACGCAATGTCCCTAAAATTCATTTTACTTACATCAGAGTTTGGTCCCTCCTGACACCCCCTGGCACTTTCATGTGGAACCCAAAAATTCTTTTGAGCTAGGAAATATGCCCATACTATTATTTTGAACGTATAGAAACAAAGAAAACAATAATCAGTTTGCGTTTATCCTGCAGATGTTCGTTGTTGCCCATTTTCACGATCATCCTGTATATTGTGCTAGCATTTTTCTGCGAAGGACCACTACTGCCATCCTGCTTCAATTAAACGAATGCAGAAAACGCAGCTAAGTGACCTATTTATCACTTGTTCAAGAACATGTGCCGTACGGTATAGTAGTCGTGCACTGAAATATATACAGTTCAAATCTTGTTCATCAAAATTTACTGTACAGATTAGAGCCAATTCGATCCACTTTCATCTAACCTTTGCCAATTGGCGCAGGCGCTGGAAGCATCAACTCCTCGTGGCTAGCACAAGTTGTGGCATATGTCGGTAAGATACGCAAGTCTATATCCACTATACACACATCCCGTCTACCCTTGAGATGAAATTCTTAGAGGACATTTAATTACAATTTAATCTCGACTTTTTATCGCCAAGATTTTAAAGGCACTTTTTAAGAAATGAAAAAAAAAAAAAGTAATAATACATAGATACTGTAAGCCTAGTTTTCAAAAATAGAAAACCAAAACGTAAATGAGAGACCTCATCTAGAGAATTAGTTTGGAATGTTCGATTGAGGGAATAACAATGAGTGAAATTCTCAACTAGAATCTCAACACCTTATGAAGAAAACATATGCACAAAATTTATCCTATAAAGAAACTAAGTGGAAGATAAATAAGACCTATTCCTTTGAAACTACTCTACTCTAGAGGGAAAACTAAGGGTTTTTTCGTTTTTATTAAACTCGAACTTTTTGGGGGAAAAAATAGTGGGGGTTGAGGTTGGGGAAATACGAGGTTACGTCCACCTTTTTAGTCAAATTCATCCACATTAAACCAATCACTTGAATCCCCACCGTCTGATTCTGTGTCCTGCTTCCATGTCCTCTGCTGCTGCTGATCCAGCTTTGAGCCTGCATTTTCATGCAGATGAACCCAATCACTGGATTCGGTTGATGAAGAAGTCCTTGGGGGGGTTATTACAGAGAACTTTCCAGACAAATCGGTCCCATAATCCTCTATTTCACTAAATGATATTGTACCTTCAAGACCACTCCTTTCTTTGACATCCGCAGAAGTTTTTGAATCTGCCATTTTCAACTGGTGATTGGTATTCTCTTCCTCTCCATCCATAATTCCCAATCCTTCGCCTCCCTCAATGGTTTGAGTCGAGTTTTCCTTTTCCTCAGACGGCATATTTCCCATTTGAGTGCCACAAACTAAATTGTTGTTATCACAAGTATCCTCAGAGTTCACCTGTGATTTCTCTTTTCTTTGAAATTTATCCAGAAGTAGGTTTCTTGCTTCGATAATCTACCAAAAAAGAACAAAGTGTCACGTTATTAATCAGAAACTTAAGTAAAAGTCATGCTAATAGAGAAGTTCATTGTGGGAACTTGAGTTTGAGTGAATTTTGTTATTAGATTTGCAATCATGCATTCGGTCAAAGTTAATTATTTAAACGTTATAGACAGGCAAAGAAGAACCCAACTGAAACGGGGAAAAAAAAATGGCATAAGATCCCAACAGAAACAGAAGAGAATCTGGATTAGTGTAATTAAGGTTGTCGCTCTCTGGACTTGACCAAATCGATTTGAACCTACGTCCTTGGTACTTTTCTGAAAACTACATCTAAATTTTACCACAAACAAGTCTATAACTTGATTGAATCCAACTGGTCAATTTTTTTCAGTTCCACTATGCGGTTCCTTTAAGTAAACTGAAATTTGTATGATATTAATCTTTAATGTATCTATGTTCTTAGAGAAAGTTATAAAAATATATCCCAAATAAATGGACAGTCTCGTTATCATTTTTCTTATGCAAAAAGCCAAACATAATCATGAGTTCTGTAAACATTTGAACCAAATCAGACCAACAGAGCAAAAAGGTCGAACCTAACCATTAAATTTGGATCAATTCAATTTGGCTTATCATTATGATCTCTCACGTGTGGGTGCAATTTGATTATGGTGATCTAACCATCACAAATACGTTGGCATACATACCAATATTCAATTGGCAGACAATATCCAACAATATTCAATTGGCAGACAATATCCAACAATATTCAATTGGCAGACAATATCCAACAATATTCAATTGGCAGACAATATCCAACAATCTTCAATTTGAAGCAAATAAAGGACTGGAACGCATCGAAGTTATATAAATTATCTAGCATTAATATAGCATGAAAAGACTACAATTCTAGCATGAAGTGTAGTTGCACTATATTAATGGAAAGAAAATAGGGGAAAGTTAATAACATTTTAATGGTAAGCATAACAGTCAGCAGACAATGAACTTGAAATGCATTAAACACACAGAACGCAAATATTGAAAACAAGAAATGTGTAAAGGCGTCCAACTTGCAGTATAGGGATAGAAAGGCCAGACAGCAAGCCACAAGATGATTCCTAGCTCAGAAGAGAAAGATCCAAAATTATGAAGAAAAAAAAAAGTCAATGCAACCAAATCAATTTATGATTAAAAAAAACCCTAAAGCAATTCCAGTTAGGCTTTAATGCAACAGCAAGCATCACTCATAATAATCTGCAAACAACCTAAAAATGAAGAATATGACATTTTAAAAGGGAAATAAGTCTTACCTCAGGGGTTTCTAAAAGCTCAAAATCATCTTTGTTGAATCTTGGAAGCAACAATATAAAATAAATCATCCAGAAACGTTCATTGCTCATGGAACTCTGAAGCTGTATTTTAAGAGCTGAGATATTTGGAATCAATTGCTCAACAGTTGAAGTGTGTATGCTTTGAACGTCAGACATTTTAAAATCTGCAATAAAGCTAATCAATGCATTATGCTAATAGTGAATTAAAATTAAAGCATATAAACCGACTTACGTATACAAAGTGCTCGATGTGAAATTTAACTTCTCAATAATTATCGTTATCACTACCAAAAGAAAAATTGAGTTGGAAATATGAATGGATTTTGGTAACCTAATTAGCAATTCCAATTAACATAAAGGTTGAGTTGCATCTTCGTTATAGTGGATGTTATTCTAATTTAGCAAAAGCTAAATCATACGAGAGGCATCAGGTATCTACGTCCTCGGGCTATACCAAAACATTAAATGAGAAACAAAAAGCAATAAAGAGAATAGCACCTGAAGATTTTACGCCACAACCAAGGACATGCTATTACCAACTTGTAAAGAAACAAGTACATGTGCTTCTTGGAGAAGCACAAGAAGCACCAAAGAGTTAGAATTTTTATTTATTATTTTCTACAAAGGTTCTCCAAATCTTCTTGTCTATTTGTTATTGAGGGGGAAGATGACAGAAAATACAGCCTGTATTTCAGATTAAGCTGAGTAGGAATATGCCCCAACTACCTCTCAGAAATCAGTATACATCGAAGTGTCATCATCACTTGGAATATTCTCACCAACAGAAGATGGTAAACGATCTTAGTTACATTGATAATTATCTTAATCCATCCTGCGACCAATTCTTGTAGTGTACACAACCAAATTCAGACGACTGCTTGTCGTCTACTCTAGGACCAAGTGAAACAAGACGTACTTGACCTACTTTTTTTTTTCTTTTAGTTCAATAGTAATTGGTGTACTATCCTCTAAGCTACACTCAAATTGACACATACTTGACATATTTGATACCATATTGAATAAAAGAACATATATGGAGAAAGTGGTAGTTTCTATATGATCTTTAAATGGTTATGGTCAGAAATATATTTGGATAAGCTCCTGATAAGATGGAAGAGTACTTGGATAACAGGTATTCTTCATCTAGAAGAAACCAAGGCCCCACGATACTTCTCTCTAAACACAGAACAGGCAAACTCCAATTTGGAATATATATTTTCCATGCATTAAAGCAATCCGATAAAGAGATGGAGAAAAGAATATATAGTTTTGCTTTCTCTTTTCAGGTTTAGTTCTTGATCTTGATTTATTGTTGTTCTTGATCTTGATTTATTGTTGAAGGCAGTATGTCCAAGTCTCTAGTTGCGACATATATAGATTTCAACCTGCCTAATCTCTCAAATACTATATCGATTTCAGCATCAAACAAAATTATATTGGTACATTAGGCTTCATAACATGTGAGTTAATTCTCAGAGAAAAAATAATAAAAGAAAAAGGAAAAGAAAACACAGACGATTGAGGAGAAAAAATGCAGAATACTATTGCTCGCGGCACCGAAGCATTCTAATGAATAATGATCACTTATGGCTCTAGTTTAAGAACATTGTGTGCAATTTGCAGGCACAATGTTTTTATCCTAATCTCTATTTATGCCAAATTCATTGGCCAATGATTAAATACCGAACATATGTTTTATCACAAATATGAATAGCAAAAGACTTGCAGTTACCTGTATCAACAAGCGCCAAGGGAAAGTCGGTCCAGTACTCTGGCCGCAAAGAAATGTCGTTAACAAAATTTAAAACCTCATCCGTAATTCCTGGCGTATCATCAACACACTCGTCTTCGAATTCCTCATCTTCTTCATCATCAGCAGAACGACTCTGAAATTGCAGCAAGTTAGAAGCAAACCTACAAATCTCTCCAACAGCCTTGTTGCTACGAACAGAGAGCATCGAGAAGCCATTTCTCAAGCCACCGTTTATCTCTGCGAGATCATTACGAATTCCTTGAAGCTTTTGAGAAAGCGACGAAGAATCTGAACTCGATTCGGAAGAATCAGCAGCAACAATCACCGCTGGCGATGGTTGTGAAGAGAGAAAGTTGGCGAGGCCACGTAGCTGACGGCTCAGCGTCTCACCAAGCGCGGTGAAGTCGTCCTTAACAGAAGGATCGGCAGTGGTGAAATGGACGCCTTCCGACGACGACAACGAACTGTTCAACGGAGACTCGGCGGGTATATCATCATCGCTTGCTTGAAAAGACTTAAACAACCAAGACATGGTTACTCACAGGTTTTGTTCGTCCGGATTGTTACTGAACGAAATTAAAAGAGAGCATCCGGAGAGTTTTGGAAATGGCGGTGAAGCTAGTCTAGTTCCTTCGTTCTCCGTTTTTCGGCACTGTATCTCTCTATCTTGTAATTCTGTTTTGATCTCTATGTTTCCAAACTCTTTCAAGCGCCTATTTCCCCGCGGTGCCGAATCTGAAATTTCTGGTACTTCGTTAACATATATATTTTAGTTTATAAATAGTTTTTTTTTTTTTAATGTTGGTGGACCCACATACGAAGTCCATATATAAAATATGCTGACGTGGCTTTAATACTAGAACTTTTCTCCAATAAACCACCTCTACCACACCAAATTTGCACGGCTAGTCCACCTGGATTTTGCCACGTAGACTTCCTCATACGCCCCTTAATTACCGATATGCCCTCCACTGCATCTACTCACTTTAAAAATTAATTTTACATTAAAATATTGTTTTTTTTAATTTTAAATTTATCCAATTTTACTTCCTACTCTTTATAAATTTTAAATTTAGTCCTCACTTAATTTTTAAATTTAAATACTATTTTGGTCGAAACCCTTTTAACACAATTTTTTTAATGTATTATATATATATATATATATATATATATTAGGGATATATTATTTTGATTCTAAGTTTCAGTTACCACTTAGCTGGTTCACTACGTCATTGTACCATGTTGATGAAAAATTTATCAAAGAAATATGGGATGCGATGAAGAACAAGTTTGAAGGAATTGAGATGAAGTCTGGTGAAGGAGTGACAGAATGCTTTTCCAAGGTCATGGTAGTGGCAAATAAGATGCAGATTTATGGAGAAGATCTGCAAGATGAGTTGCAAAGTTCCTTGACAGTACATGAACAAGAAATGCTTATGATGTCTTATGAGGAATTGCATGGAATCCAAAGAGAAGATTCGTGGTTTATTGATTCTGCGTGGTGTTCTCGTCATATGAATCTGGTAGTCAAAAGGAAAAGTCGGTTCCTTTCTCTAAACTCAAACCAAGACCAGGAGAAGTGTTGCAAGACAGGAAAAAGGAGTTGCACTTATCGAATGGGTCAAAGAAGGAACGGTTCCTTTACAAGCCATTCGAGAAACCTTCTCAACTAAAATTGATTATGGTTGCTATCTAGTTCGATGGGGGCATTAGATGTAAGAAATTGGAGAATGAATTTGGAGAATGCTCATGTTGTTACCGAGGCATGTCCAAAATTGAGTAATCATCTCTTAAGCATAGGGTAGGGTTAGCCGAACAGTGGACCTTATTACCATCTTTCATGACACAAATAATCAATCAAAAGTCTGTCTCACTAATTATGATCAAAAGAATCTCACCCTAGCTAACTTAACTACTACACATACACAAGATATTGTACATCTGTATACACCAGATTTAGCAGCCCCCCATTTGAAGAAGTTACGATCATTAACATTTCTATCAGAGTGTTCTTTGGATGATTTTAAATGAGACCAGTAAAAGGATTGGAAGCGTGAACAGGCGTACCCGGATTGTAGTGGTAGGCATTGGTCCCGTGAGGATTTCCGAAAGGATTTGACTGTTGCGAAGGAGCCATCATCATCTGCTGCTGCTGTTGAAATATGAAAGCTTGCTGCTGGTTGGCCATGGCTGCCATTTGTACTGAATGAGGTGCAGTCACCACAGTTGAAGAGACAAAGGGATCATGGATTGGCTGTTGCATCATGGCACCGGGCATTGGAACTGGTTCCCATGGATTGTAACTCACGCTCTGATTATTTCTTCTGATTGCATCATCATATAAGCTGTCTAATGTAAGCAAGTCCAACCCTCCGGCCTTTGCCAATCAGTTCAAAGCATTATCAGAATATCATAAATTTGGGCAAAGAGGGAACGGGATGTTGTTTAGGAGTTAGAACAGTAGAAGACTAATGGTCTCCTGGACATATCTAAGATGAAATGCTAGAATACAAATCTGGGCGACAGTACCGATTACATCACTATTGTGTATACATCCGACATGAATGCAAAATCTTATGTCTAATGAGTATATAGAATAAAGATACTTACCAATTTGCTTGTAGCAGCTACACTTTCATTTGAGCTTGGTGCCGTAACAAGTGCCAATTCCCAGCCTGTAGTTGTAGTACCATCAACTTGGCTAGGAGCAGAACTGGTTTGTTGGTCGGCTGTGATCACAAGCAGTACAAGTACAGTGAGCCGACTCCACGTGTATGGTTATTCCAATTACTACCAAAAGCCTAAAGTATTGTTCCCCTTTTCTTTACTAAATTCTAAATAGCAACTTCACATATTGAATTGTTTTCTATTGCTTGCTATTGAAATTTGAAGAAAAATGCAGATAGAAAGAGGAGAACTACCAACTGGGACGACAGCCAACGCCAAAGAATTCTTCTCATCCAAATTGGAAGTGGTCTCAGCTACAGGATCATTCAAACCCTGACCAAAAACAGATAATTGTCCCAAAAACGTATTTCCAGAATAATCATGTGACTACATACTAATTTCGTAAAGAAACAACTACACTTATAATAGGGAAATTTCAGTATCTGTTTATTTGAAAAGTTCAAGATACCGACCATATTTACTTCAGGAGATCTGAAGACTAATGGTTTCTTTTAAGCATTAAAATAAGTTTTTTAAAAAACTCCGTGTAAAATTAAATTGGAGTCCAATAACATCAATAAAATCTCTTCATATCTTCGAGTTTTTTAGAAGAAAGAATATAAGAACGAAATGACAAAAATAATATATAGTTTCATTTTTAGCCGTTGATTTTTAGTTCAATACAATAAATAATTTTAAGAATTCAAAATTAATCATTTTGTAATTTATTTTAAGAAAACAATTGGTCAAATTATTTTCAGTAAATTAGTAACCACTTAAGAATCACGATTATGTTATAATCTACTAATATTAGGAGTAGACTCACTAACAATAGAAGCTTACCAACAAATCAGGTTGTTCAGTCACGACTGGTTCTACTTTCACTGGTTCAGGGGGTGGCGGAGACGCAGCTGGTGGAGGTGCCACTGGTTGTTCCGTTTGCACTTCTGGTTCCTTCTTGTGCTCAACAGCCAGAACTTCTTTAGGGGCAGCTACTTTATTACCAGCAGTCTGCTTATTATGATGTGTACCAAAAAGAGTTCAGGTGTTTTTCATAGAATATCTTGGTGCTAACCGATTATATGAGAGCGTGGAGAACAAACAATTTGGGAAAGCATAAAAAACAATGAATAAAAGAGAAGTAAAAAAAGAAAAAAGGCACTACCTGATCCTTACGAGCTGCTGAAACTCGTGGAGCTTCTCGTACATAATCTTTCATGGCTTGTAAAAATGATGCAGGAGGCTTCAAAATGAGCACACAAAACACGAAAATTAGTCTTTTCTTTTTATGGACAGATGGGGGGGGG